GTTTGATCTTGACAAATCAACTTAACAACACGTTCTTTTTTGCTTGCTAAATTAACAACAAATAATCTAGATATTAATCCACTACATAACACGATTTCTTGGATTTTGTCACTTAAACTAGGAAAGTTTAGTATCTGTCTCAAGTATAACATAGTTTGGGTATGGACCCACCATGATATTGACATATGTATTAACAAGTCATATATGGGTATAACCCGCTAATTATCTTTGTGATATCACGCACCTTTTCGATAATCAATTAAGGATTCTACCCCTCGACTTCATATTTTACTCAATTAGTTACTTCTAAACTAGAATGACTTGATTTGACCCCCATCTAGTATAAACTAAGGACTTAGAAGAGACACAATACTCTACCTTAAGAGACAACAATACTCAAGATGAGTTTTTCAACAATTGGGCTCTTAAAGCACCACAACACATATCCATAAAATGGGATATTTAAACTTATAAAAACAACATCTCTCCTCTAGTCCTAAGTTCACAACACAATTCAACATCGTGCATCATGCACCTTATCAACATAATTCAATACTACAACATGTCTCATGCATATTACAACACAACACTACACAAGAACATATTTCTCACGCATTTACAACACAACACGCAATAACGATTTCTCATATTCATTTCAACATACTCACACTCGATGTGATCAAACTTGCACCTAGTGGTTAATGCCTGACGCCCCTCATTCCACATTCGACGTTAATAGGATAGAGAGTCTCTACCTCACTCACACTTAGTGCCAATCCTCTTACGCCCAACGAAAATGAGATAAAGTCTTTGAGCATTCCACATTCAACGCCACTCATGCTACGTTGGACATTAGTGAGATAGAGAGTCTTTAACTTACTAATGTTAGACATCATTCACCCCACGCCTAATGTTAACGAGGAAGAGAGCCTTTAACTCACTAATATCCGATGCCAATCATCTCACACTCGACATCGATGAGACAAAGAGCTTTTGAATCATTCATGCTTGACACTATGATGTTGCGTCTTATGCAATGACGATTTTTGCACTCTGCATAATCGTAATTTGAGTCCTCCCAAATCTCTAATTGCTCAAAAACACAAAGAAACCTAAAGATTTCACAAACCAATTCATGTAGACACACATACAAAATTCTCTTTTCATTCAGCATGATCAACCCCCTACACACAATTATGTTTTCATTTCAACATGATCAACCCCTCCCCCCACATACACAATTCTTTCTTCATTTCAACATGATCAGCCAAAAACTAAATTAATAATTCTCTTTTCATTTTAGCATGATCACCCCCCCACATTCACCCCACCCACCCACCTACACACACCCCTCCCTCAAATTTCAAGAGAATCAACACATACATCCATAAATGATCAAGGACCACCATTTTTTCTTTCTCAAGCAAGAACCCCCCCCAACACCCACAACTCAAATTTCAAGAGAATCAACTCATCATGCAACCATAAAAAGATCAAGGATCGCCAATTTTTCTTTCTTAAGGAAAAAAAACCCCAAAATTAAGGACACCAAGGTTCTATCTCTTAAATTCAACACCAAAACTATCCAAGACATGAATAAACACAACAAAATCAACCCATACAACATAGAAGATTAAACTACAAGCTTCTTTTACCTCAATTCTCCCAAAGATGAGGAGAAAGAAGAAAAATGATGAAGAACAAGACCTCTCGAGCTCTCGTTGTACGACAACACCAAACTTGATTCCTAGCACTCTAAGTTTCAAATCATAACTCAACTTCTACAATTTGAGCTTCAGGAGAAGATTAGAATGATTTTATGAAGTAAGAAGAAAGAACGATCTCTTTTACTCAAGAGTCTATCTCTTTAAAACCTCTCTATAAAATTCTTAAGAAATAAATTTATGAAGTTTAAATTTTAAAAAAATCTTATATATCTTTTTTCTAAACTTGGCCAACTTAATCTCAACTTAAAACAACCCTCTAAGAATTAAACTAATAATAATACCTTAATTCTTAAAATTTTAAAATTTTAAAATAACATATCAACATAAATCATATACTTAATAAAATTAAATAAACAATAATATAAATTACAGTGCTACAATCATCACTATTATTAATATCACTATTATTTTTATTAAGATAATTAATAATAATTTATTCAGATATAGAGTAAACAAATTTCAATAATTTATTAATGTTTATCCTATATTGTTCTCCTCGTACTTTAATATGTACCAAACACGCTAGCTATATGTTATATGTTGCAAAGAGAGGAGATGTAACAACCTAAAAATAATTGACAAAATTCACTTAACAACTTATCAAATTTTAAAGATAACTATTTGATAAAAAAAAAAAATCCCATATCAATGTCAAAGGCATAACTACTTACTAGCCTTCCCTACTCTTAAGCAACTCATACTATATTTTTACAATTTTTGCTTCAATAAAAATTTCTTATAAACACCCTTACTTTTTTACAACTCATACTACACTTAGGAGTTCCTTTGTCTATCATGTTTTACTACAGTTTGATGGGAAATTAAGTTTGAATATATGTAGATTTCTCATGATTCTTTCAGATTCCAAATCCAACACCTAAATTTTTATTGACCTTTTCTTTATTTTTACTTTTTTTTTTCAAAACTGACTTTTAATTTTCTTTACACGGAAAACCGACTTAGCTTGGGATACGGCAAAGACAACATTATCCATTGCTGAAGAAGACTGAAGGAAGATGTAAATGAGAAAGAAACTGATTATGTTGTTATTTGCAATAAAGGATATTTTTATACTTTAAATAGATTAGATTGTTATGTGATTTTTTAATGAATTTAAACAAATTAATGAATTGTTTTTTATTCAATCCATCATAATCTATCTAAATATTTTTTATCCGATTCATTTATTTTCCATTTCTACTACATCATTCCACTTACTCTAGATTAGATAATAATTTATATTTGAATAAGTATAAATTACCAGTCAACCAAAGTTTTAAAAACAAATATATGGATTGAAGTTGAAGCACTTTTGTCACACTGTCTTCCTACGATGATCCAACAGTATAAAAATTGGTTTAATAATAAATATTATATTATTATAAAGTATGCGGGTCCAAAATATAACAATTATTTTGTAATGAATCTCTCTATAGATCGAGATACGCACATACCTGAATTTGTACCATTGGTTTTTTACAGGCATAAAACATATTGTGCTGTGTATCATACTTTCAAAGGAAGAAAATGTGTTTTTCTTTTTGTATATTTAGTGTTATTAGTGAAGAATCTGTCTCTTAAATATTTTTTTTTTCCTTAAAGCCAACGAATGTTATTATTATTGTAATAAAACAAGGAACCAAAACCTGCACGAGTGAGTATTTGGAGACATATAATAATGTCTAAGTCATTAACTATATACATATATATAAAAAAAATATAAAAAGAGTCGATTTATAGATAATTTGAGTGAAAGTTAGTCTTTCATGTTTAATTATGGACTATATATGAAAGAATATTACCTCTTAAAAAATTGAAAAATACAAAAAATATATATTGTCTCTCATATGTATGTATTTTTTTTTTAAGATTACAAGTAATTTTCATGAAAAGTAATTATGTTCAAGTAAATTAATGTAAATATATACTTATAACACAAAATCACACTAAACTGAAACAACTCGAAGTTAGGTGATCCACACCGCTACTGATATGAATATTTCTGTTTTTATTTTAAAATACAAAATTTTACACTCCTTATGCCAATTATATATATATATATATGGTTTGTGCTCAAATCAATTTTCTTTTTATGCGGTGTCACATAAAAACTTTATCCACAAAACTTGTAACAATGTTGCAATTTACATAAATTAGTGAGGGTTAGTTTTGTCCCATCTATGGAGGCTTTTATTTGAAACCTAGACAATCCTTTCTCTGACTCAGTATATCCGAGGCAAAGTAATACTCTTAGTTGCAATTTCGGTCGTTCTTTAATCAAGAAATTTATATGTCACATAGATTGACGTATAAAAATGTTATTATAAATATAAAATATGTGAATATAAATTTATTTGATATATAATTATATATAATTTTAATATTAATTTTTAATGAGATTAATAATATATATTATGTATCATTATAATTTATATCTATATTTTTTTAATAATATATTAATATATTTATATTTTAAATAATTAAAATAATTTTTAATAATAAGTATTATCTATACCTATTATAAAGAGGATAGGTATGTAACTGTTTTTTTTTTTATATCTTTACTTAGTAGACCACTGTATCTCTCGGATGTAAAAAAAAATTATATTTTTTCTAAATAATTATTCACAACTTTCTAATATTTTGTCTGTGTATAATTATTAGAGATATGAAGTACCTTAACCTCTCTAATATTATTATAAAATGTATGTGTCACTACATATATAATAATGTCATTTATATTGAAAATATTTATTATAAAAGGATAGATATGTAACTACTTTTGATCTTCTCTTTTTATTGGACTATCATACCTCTCAGATATAAAAATAAATTATATTCTATCTAAATTATTATACACAACTTTCTAATATTTTATCTATATATAATTATTAGAAACATAAAATGTCTTAACCCTCCTAATATTATTGTAGAATATGCATAATAATAATGTCATTTTTATTGAAAGACACAAATTACTTATTTTAACAACTTTTTATCGTTTCTCTCTTCACATTGTTTACATAAAGAAAAAAGTATCTAGTGTTAACCTTTTTAACCTAATGATTTTAAAGTTTGGAATGAGGTATGAAAAGTTGACTTAATATATTTTAATAATTATAAGTTATTATTTGTTAACTTTGAAATATATATATATATATATATATATATATAT